TGAGGGGAGCAGCGGGCGGGTCAGGAGAGGTCTGCCACGCCATGTGGTCACCTCCAGGGCAGGCGGGAATCGAACTCATGAGGAAGTGGCTTTAGCTTCTTAATGCTGCACCACCAGGGAGGGCCCTTTGATTTTTAAGATTGCAACATGATTTCTTGAGTCCTCTCACTGGCTTTGTTCTCCAATAAAAATGGAGAATGATTTCCTCTTTTCCCTTAGTAACAGGTTCACTTGCCTGAGTTACATGTAGACTGTCTCTTGTTCCTGCTTTGTTCAAGTCTACACAGCTTCTATTGTATCTGGGGGCTTTTTTTTTTTTTCTTTTTCTTTCCTTTAAGCATTGGGGTACAGCCATAGGTACAGGGGGTGAGAAAATTCACCAGAGTCAGAGTGGGGAGCAGAACAGGTAGATCAACGAAGTACACTGCTGAGGGGAGCAGCGGGTGAGACAGGAGAGGTCTGCGGCGCCACGTGGCATTCCCTGACTGGGGGTCGAACTCAGACTACAGTGGCTGTGGCCAGCTGGTGGCTTTAAACTGAAGCCTCCTCGTGCTCCCCTTCTTGTGGATCACAGCAACACTGACTCACAATTTCTAATTTCAAGCATGTATTTTGGAAGTCAACTGATAACAGGTCCTAACAATCCAGGCAGTTCAATCATTCTTGCTCAATCCGTTCTATTAACTCTAATTTTCTTTCTTTTTTAATGCATCCCAAAGTCTTTACCATTTTTCTGCTACAGGAGCACTTTAGGCAGGTATGTATCTGCTCTTTCTCCATAGCAATACTTCATGACTTTATTTTCAGTGATCTTTATTGTATAGTCAAGGACACTGAGCTAAAGATGATGTTCCAATTATTATGCCTGAGGGAGGTCTGTGATGACCCATGTGTGGTAATTCAGAAGACAGGGGTCCTCTCTCCAAAAAACATTGGCAGATACAAAATTTTAAAGACACTTTTAGGGTTTGTTGGTCAAAGTTTCTAAAATTGATGAAATTCCATTGCCTGAGGGGCATAATTTGCATGTCTACTGACTCCCTCCTCCCTATAAATGTTCTTAAATGGAGGCCTGTGACATCCACCCCAGTCACCTCATTTAAAAAGATAGAAACAGCTATCCTTGCTTTATCTGCTTTCTACATTTAAGTAAAACCTTTAAAAGCATGTGCTACACAAATCAGTCACCACATATGTTTCTTCAGTCATAACAGAATTCTCTACATAGTAGATTTTCTGTTCAAAGATGAAGCTAGACTAGTGCATGCATGGTTTCTCTTAAATTTGCTGAGAAAGATAGAACAATGGGCTTAGCATTTATCTGCTATTTAAAATGTACCTTTGTCTTATACAACCTCTCCCTTGTCGGCATCTTGTTTTTCTGTAGGTATGGGACACAGTCACTGGTTACCTTGATGTACATAATTGGGAGAACCATAAGTACAGATCTACAGATCGTGGAGGTAAGTATTTTACATGCCGTGGATTATGATCTGGAAGCCACCTCTCGTGGATGCTGGAGTGGCCAAAATCAAAAGGAATGTGCTTCTCTGAACTATCCCATTCTTTGCTCTAGGGTTATCCCAGTCTGTGCTATTATCACTGGGTACAACATGTTATTTAATCAGACCTTGCTCCTGAAATAGGCAGCCCTGCTCTGTCCTAGAGGGCTGGGTTCCCTCCTGGCTCACCCGGATCACTGTAGGAGACCCTGGCCCAGGCTTGTCTGCCTGTCACCCATCTTTCATGTTGCTGGCACTGTTATCACCAACTCCCAAAGCTCCAGAACTCATCATAGGTTTTAGGAGACTTTGTAAAATCTTTTCATTAGTATCCAAAACCTAATCTGGCCCCTGCCTTCCTCCTTAGCCTCAGTTTAGCCCACTTCCTCTCCAAGTGTCAGAGGACACATGAGTCACACTCCCCCAAACACTTACCCTCAGCTGTGCTTACCACTTGCGGACTTTGGGGGATGAGGGTGATGTCTCACGTTTTCTAGGTCTCAGAACCTCTATTTCCATCTGGGATCCTGATCATGCATTATCACTCTGTTCCAAAGAACTATTCTGGGAATTTTTCACAAACTGGTTTACACCTTGTCCTGCATGCTCCTGAATCATCTTATGGATCTGTTTAAATAGATCTCACCACAATATACTGATGTCGGTGTGTGACTAGTCTACCCCAGGAGGCTGCACTAGCTTCCAGAGGACTAAGACGACGTTTTCAGCATGTCTATGTTCTGGAACATGCCAGGCCCTGCCCTCCTCTGGCTGAATTTCTCTGATGCAGGCTTTCTCCTATGGAACAAACTAGCTCTAGATACACGTGGCCTTTAGTATGCTCAGTCATAAAGGGAAGAATTCTTTCTCACCCATGTTACAGTTCTAGCCCAGAAGCAAGGACTCAGGTTGGGTCTGCTTGGGTCACAAGACCATCACAGTGTCCAGGCAGAATGTAATGCTCTGACCCTAACCTAGTCAAATCATGCATGGTACCAGCCCTGCCCAAATCACAGGCCCAGGATAAGGGAGAGGTCATTGTTTGCAGGTGACATGATAATATACATAGAGTATCCCAAAACTCCACAAAAAATCTTATCAAAATAATAAACCAGTTTAGTAAAGTACAGGATACAAAGACAACACACAAAAATCAGTAGCCTTTCTATACACAATCACTCTGAAGAAGAAGAAACCAAGAAAACCATTCCCTTTATAATTGAAACTAACAAAGATCAAATACTTGGGAATAAACCTAACAAAAGAGGTGAAGCACCTCTACAAAGAAAATTATAAAGCATTGTTAGAAGAAATAGAAGAAGACACAAATAAATGGAAAGATCCCTTGCTCATGGATTGGAAGAATTAACATCATTAAAATGGCCATCCTACCAAAAGCAAT